TATTAAAGAATATTAAGTGATTATTTATCATAGTCATGAAACTAGTTATTAGTATCCACATAAGTAATATATAACGATATCCAGGAATACAATATATTTCCGTAGAAGATTGAGAAGGGAAGAACAGAAATGGAAAGCATTTGGTATGAAAATACAGAAACAATAAAATTCGAAACGATTGACTGATATTTGCAAAAGGAACAGTCACGTTTGAGACAGTTGATTGATATTTTGAAAATTAAATATTTACTGTATGATTCTCAGATTTTGCTCAGAGACTCCGTAATTTCGTGTTAAAATACATTGGACTGTCCATACTGGTGTTCTCGTTCACTAAAGTATCATTTTCATTGATTTGTTACGATTTGATGAAAACATCTTTTTCAAAAAACAGGCCATTTCACTGAGTGACGTATGAATCGATATTAATATTGTAGAACTCATGTAACTGCTATTTTTAAGAATGTTCTCTACACTTCTGTGTTTAAAATAACCGAATCCGATTTGGATGAAATAGATTAACTTTTTTTTCAAAATTCGCAAAAATCAAAGCACGAATATTGTTTACTCAATCACAAAAGTGAAGGAATTAATAAAGATGAAATTGCTGAAGTTTTTTTGCCTGATAGAGAGTGTCTGTTTAGATGGAATTAGACGAAATATTATCAGTATAAATGAGATGAGGTGTGTTGTTGACTCTTCTTTAGTTTCCTATTTCCTTAACTTCTTCTGTTTACTGTTAAACCATTTCGTTCGACAACGAGTTGGTTTACATTTCAAATTTGGGCCTGAGAGGTTGATATATTTTATCAATGTCAACAGTGTTATGAGACATTAATTGATAAATAACACTCATAATTAGCGGCTTATTATAAAGCTCCTAACTTAAATTGTCGAATAATTGAGAACTAAGAAACTTATTTTTACGTCAAAGCTTTACTTAGGTGTTAACTCAGTTATCAAATGTCGTGCTTAATTGATATATTGAGCATCTAATTGTTCTCATTTCATCTTCCAGATGGTCATATATTTGAACGTGAATCGAACAAACTTAGATATGCTAAATACTGATTATCAAACAATCTAAGTGTAATAAGCTGTTAACTTTCACTAAAAAGAAAAATAGCTAATTCCTAGAGGTGAACGATTCTTGTCAAACTGTAAACATAAAACGAAGTTTATCGTGAACTAGTTTCATATGAATTCAACAGATATTCAACTGCTATAAGCTTAATGAATGTTAAGATTTTGGTTTTATAACTGGCTGAAATATTCCTTATTATCCAGAATTCATTATTATAGATTTATATCATTGACCAAACTAACTTCCACCAAAATTTAGATTGTTATTTTGTAAATTAATCCTAATCAAACAAACATGTAACAGCCAATCTTAAATTTACCTGAAGTGGGTAAACAATTATGAGTAATAAAATAATCTCAAAGTCTTTTATTAAATGTTACTAACTATTCTGTACATCCGCATCGCTTATTATTTATACCTGAATAAACGAGGAACCACTGTAATTCTCACAACGCGAAGTAAGAACACAGACTGGTACAAGTGAACATTTATTAACCCAAAAACTTAACGACGTCTTTAGTCGAAAATGCGTTCATTTTCTATGTATTTTACATTCATTTTGAATACTAAAATAAAGGCACATATATGAAAAATACCCAGAGTTATAACAAAATCACATGCTATATGTCATACTGAGCATAGCTTATATTAATTTTTAATACAAGACTATCGTATCTTGAATAAGACATAACACTCAAATAAATTATTGTTTTACCAAATAAAATATTACACTGAAAACCGAAAACAAGAACTATACTGAGTAATCATTGCATTGAAATAAGAATAAAAGTAATATTGAACAAAAGAAGATCACAATGAATAAACGAATGAAATTTTGTCTTTATATCCTATCATATTGTGGTTTGTGCTACTGATATCGATAGGTATAAGTAGTATGTTTTATCAATCGAAAGTCAAATGTCTAGCAGTAGAAAATTACAAAGATCAAACAAAAGAGAATGGGAACAAAATAAAATGATCGGTATGGAAACGAAGGAATAGTCAAATCTAAGACAACTGATTCACATTTTGTAAATGAAGTATTTATTTTATGGATCTCAGATTTTATTAAAACATTCTGTAATTTTGTAGTCGAATACATTCAATTATCCTCACTGATGTTCTCGTTCACTATAATCACTTAACAGGATTTGATAAATACAGAGAAGTGTATAGATATCCATTAAATTTATGACTTTTAGATGTTGCTTTTAACTTGATACTCTTATAAAGATGACTATCCTTTCATTACAATTTATTCATCTATATTTCAATTGAAATTGTATTTCATTAATTTAACTAAATATGACAATAAATGAATTTCTATATATCAATTTCTTTTATAGGCTTGTTCAATTATACATACATATAGAAATGGATAATATAATTTTTGATTAGTTCTTCATTTAACTTTAAATTTACCTCTAAAATTGAAGTGAATTAATTCAGTTTTATTTATTTTAATTTGAATCATTTATTTAATTTTTTTTTCTTGTGTTTTTTTTGTTGTTGTTGATACCATTTATTGTATCCACTTCAATGTGCAGTTGTTTTAAAGTAAATAATTTTTTAAAAAATTTCCCTTGAAAAATTTAAACAATTTATTTTTTTAATGGTTGAGATCATGGGTCGTTTGAAGCTAGGCCACCATGGGAAACCTGGAAGCACTGGATGGCCGTTTTGTCCTAGTATGGGACTCCTCAGCAGTGCGCATCTACGATTCAACCCCCGTGAGATTCGAATCCAGGACCAATCAGTCTCGTGCGCGATCATTTAACCACTAGACCAGTGAATCAGTCGGTATTCAACGGTGTTAATGCCTAACTTCAACTAATCCACAAGATTGAGTGACACATTCACCATTGTCATGAGTGAGTTACTATTTGACAACAGACCTGGTTGAACTCCACTGTGTTCTTTTTAGCTTTTCAGAGCTTCTTAGAATATAATACTTGTTTGACTGATACTTTACTAACTGTATAATGTAGCCTTTTATCAGGTGTATTATACTGTTAATTTACATTCAAGTAAATAGGATTTTTAAAATTTGTATTTGTTTTAGAATTATTATCTATGATATATCATTATAAATGTTTATTATAAAATGTAGGTGAAATAATTGACAAGATTTTATTCATGAACTTTCTAATAATAATTACATAATGGCCTAAAATTCATCCTTGTATTGGTCGTTTGAATCTTCTCGTTAATGTTTAGAACTGTTATTGATCAGGCTTTCACTGGCATATGTGCATCGTGTGCGTATTGCCTCGATATTACATTAAGCCACAAGCATTAAAAACAGAGATGGTTGGTGGCTGGCAGTGAAATCTAGGAAGCGCGTTTCGTCCCATCTCGAACCCGTCAGCTGGATATATCTGCATCCCAGAATTGATGTACACGCAGGAACTGGAACCCAGTATCGTTCACTTCAAACGTCATCGCGTTATTCACTTAGCTACTGAGTTCAGGTAGTCACTAGCTTGTGCAATAGGGTGAACCTTATTCCTCTTTTGTATTGTTTGTTTGAATCTTTCTATTGATTGCCCCGATATTTTTTCCCCAAATATCTGTCCCACCGCATTTATACAAATGAAATGTAATCATTTCGTGCAATTAATATTCAGTTGAGACGGAACCACCCTACCTACCAATAATAAGTAGTATATTTTAGACTACACAAAAATTGATGTTTAGAATTTAGTCTAAATACTTAATAATACTTAATTATATCATGAATCCAAGTTATAGATAATAGGAATTGCAGTTCAATATTTAGAGATCTATAATCTAATTTATTTTATTTTATTTCAGTCGTTTTACAGGCATAATAATCAAATGATTGGGTGAAAACATTCCTACTAATTTCATGAAGTCAATAAAAATATATTATATTTTTTTATTTAATTGTTCTCAACTCAACCAAAATGCTCAAACTCTTCAGTGTGACTAAAAAAACATACCAGTTTCTAATAATCAATCTAATATTCATTTATTCTTCATTGTTTGCATCAACAAAATCAGTACGATCTTATATTACAGAATATGTTGCCATAGAGATTATTATTATTATTATTATCAATTCTTTGAATGTAAACGCATGAATCAAGTTTTTCCTGCCATATTCTACTTTCATCCTTCTTTTCTGTATCATTCATTTCCATATGAACGTTTTTTTTACTGGATCATATAATAATTACCTTGTTTATTTCAGTGAATCAATAAATTAATTTTCAATATATGCATTTCTTAACAAGACAATAAAGAATAAACTACCTAAATAAATGAAAGAAAAAATTAGTAACTTTGTAAACATTATATACTGTGGTAACACTACCCCCCCCCCATGAAAATAAAATGGAAATTGTTTTTTTTGGGGTTTTTTTTTCAGTATTCTCATTATTTTAATTTTCTTTAAATTAATTTATTTTCCAATGAAAAAAGCATGTCCTTTTTATTTTTCTTCTTTTAAACATTAACCTTTACGATATTTCATTTCGCTCTATTATTTTAATCAGGTACTGTCTATAATCTTTATAAAAAATAAAATAAACGTATCAAAATGGCTGTAAACTATTGCAAATTGTGTTAGAGTACAGTTTTATTATAATAATCCAATTGTTTATAATTTACACTGTATAAATGGTTGTTTGATTGTTTGTTTTCTATTTAGTTATTTATTTATATATATCTGTAATTCACTCATTATTTCTATTTTAAAAATTATAAACAATAAAATATAATAGTTGCTCACTAATATAAACTCATATTAAATACTAAAATGTTGGCATTAAACAAAAAAATGTTGAAAGTAACTCTTTTTTTTCAACAAAACAAAACAACATTAGGTGAACACACTTTTAATAATCCTGTTTTAGGATTTACAATCAAATGGAAAGTTATAATTTAATCAAATTCATCGTTTTGTTGTTCTTGTTGTTGTTGATGATGATGATGATGATGATGATGATGATGATGATGATGATGATGATGATGATGATGATGATGATGATGATGATGATGATGATGATGATGATGATGATGATGATGATGATGATGATGATGATGATGATGATGATGATGATGATGATGATGATGATGATGATGATGATGATGATGATGATGATGATGATGATGATGATGATGATGATGATGATGATGATGATGATGATGATGATGATGATGATGATGATGATGATGATGATGATGATGATGATGATGATGATGATGATGATGATGATGATGATGATGATGATGATGATGATGATGATGATGATGATGATGATGATGATGATGATGATGATGATGATGATGATGATGATGATGATGATGATGATGATGATGATGATGATGATGATGATGATGATGATGATGATGATGATGATGATGATGATGATGATGATGATGATGATGATGATGATGATGATGATGATGATGATGATGATGATGATGATGATGATGATGATGATGATGATGATGATGATGATGATGATGATGATGATGATGATGATGATGATGATGATGATGATGATGATGATGATGATGATGATGATGATGATGATGATGATGATGATGATGATGATGATGATGATGATGATGATGATGATGATGATGATGATGATGATGATGATGATGATGATGATGATGATGATGATGATGATGATGATGATGATGATGATGATGATGATGATGATGATGATGATGATGATGATGATGATGATGATGATGATGATGATGATGATGATGATGATGATGATGATGATGATGATGATGATGATGATGATGATGATGATGATGATGATGATGATGATGATGATGATGATGATGATGATGATGATGATGATGATGATGATGATGATGATGATGATGATGATGATGATGATGATGATGATGATGATGATGATGATGATGATGATGATGATGATGATGATGATGATGATGATGATGATGATGATGATGATGATGATGATGATGATGATGATGATGATGATGATGATGATGATGATGATGATGATGATGATGATGATGATGATGATGATGATGATGATGATGATGATGATGATGATGATGATGATGATGATGATGATGATGATGATGATGATGATGATGATGATGATGATGATGATGATGATGATGATGATGATGATGATGATGATGATGATGATGATGATGATGATGATGATGATGATGATGATGATGATGATGATGATGATGATGATGATGATGATGATGATGATGATGATGATGATGATGATGATGATGATGATGATGATGATGATGATGATGATGATGATGATGATGATGATGATGATGATGATGATGATGATGATGATGATGATGATGATGATGATGATGATGATGATGATGATGATGAGCATGATGATGTTAAGTGGAACGATAATGGTATTTTAGTTATGAGTTCAAAGAATTCACGAATATCACTTTATTTGTTATTAGTTATTGAAAGCACTTAAAATAACTGATGTTAAATAGACTATGAATAATACTTATCGCCGAAGCATTGCAGTGAAATTATATGTAATTGAAACCCTAAATCATTTTTTGTATACCATAAGTAACAGAATTTTTATTTCATAAATCTCCAATGGTACTCAATTAACCGGTATAATAAGACATTGATTAACAATCCATATTCACATTACTTCTCATCGTTTCATATACTCTCACCTTCACCCCACTGAAAACAATAGAAGTGAATATGAATGAACAAGTCCAAAGCTGTTTGTGATATAACTGCTGGTGTTATGTCAAGCTTATATAGGTTATTCTAGCCTATGGACAGATGAGTCTATTCATTCTTCTCAAGGCACATTCTACTCTGTCACTTATTCGCTTATCAACATTGACTGTTTTTTATGTAAACGTATATGTGTGCATCTCTTATCTTGCTCATCACATGCATTTAAATTATCTGTGTCTGGATTTAAATATCAATTCGCGCTTGGTTAAACCGAGTTGGCTCACTATCCTCCTTCATTGTGTGTCATTTTGTTTTGCTTCGCTTTCCAATCAATGATTTTACGAAATATAAGTATTCGAAATGCATTCTCGTGCTTGACTTATTTTAATCCCGTTATTCACCAACACGAGTCAAGTCAGTGATAGTATACGAAGATTAGCAATATGTATATTCCAATAACAAACATTCATACAATCTAACTGGAATCAGCTCTCGGGCCACCAGTTATTGCTCACGACGATTGTACGATTGTAAAGTATGAAGTTGTATCACATGCGATCTACTACTAATAATTTGATCTCATAAGTAAATAAATCAAAAATAAAATCATTTCAAATAAAAGTCATTTATGGTTTTTATCATAGTAACTTGTTTATTTCGTTCACATATCAAATATATGATTATCTATAATTAGATTAGTTGTAATGATTAGTTACCAATTGAATTCTGACTGTACATTTCCTACTTTGTACTAACAATTAATCATGATTACATTAAATGTCTATACGATTCTTTCAACTTTGTAAACCTATATAGTTTCCCAATAAGAAAGAGATGAATTAATGTGTATATTTTTTGGGATGTTAGCATACCCATTTTCAGACTATTGCTTCATTAATTATATAACAGTTCATATGAATGTATGGTGCATATACTCTCCGAACGTGTTTACCATACTTGACTATAGTTGTTGTAAGTATCTATAATAAGAAACCATGTGTATATGTATCTTTTCTGGAGAAAACATTTATTGTACATAAACTGTAGTATCATTATTCATCTATTAATATGGAATATCCCAAAAGCCACTATCCATTTTGATCATTCAAAATGTATTGCCTTATTAAATCATGTAGTTTGATAAACTTCGTTCATCTGAAAATGTTAAACCGTTATGGTTGAAAATTGTGAAGGTTGTTTATCTTAAACACATTCTGAATCATAAGTGAACTTTATTTAGTCTCCTATTAACAGACAAATAAAACTAGACAGCCATTTTGTCCTAGTATGCAACGCCATAGCAACGTATATTCACAATCACCAAGTCTTGCCTCAAGCGCGTAACCTTTAGGTCATTCAGTAACCACACTGTGGTTCAATAATGATAGAACTCAAGCATCTCGGGAGTGAAAAAGGTACACCAATGGCAAAAGATCCTGTAACCGAGATTTCGTACTTTAAGTGAAGTAGAAATTGTGAACTATTTGATATCCACTTAATGGTTTAAGGAAATGCACTTGCAATAAGACCTGAAGAGCTTTCCTTTGATCATTAGGGAGTTTGTGAATGCACGCTCCTGATAACTCACATATACAACAGAACAAAATAAACATCCAGCCTTCTCTAGTCTTTACTTTTTACTTACTTACGCCTGTTACTCCTCGTGAAGGAGAATAGGCCTCTCACCAGAATTCTCCATCCAACCCTATCCTGGGCAATCTTTTCCAGCTCCTTCCAGTTGTTATTCATCCTTTTCATATCTGCTTCTATTTCCCGACCTAATGTGTTCTTTGGTCTTCCTCTTTTGCGCTTCCCTTCAGGATTCCAAGTTAGGGCTTGTCTCGTGGCGCAGTTTGACGATTTGTGTAATGTATGTCCTATCCATTTCCATCGTCTTTTCCTAATTTCCTCTTTATTTATTTATTTATTATTATTTATTTATTATTATAAGCTTTATTCAATATTATATTTTCGGTACAATATAGAATTCTCAGCACAAAGTATTTCAACAAGTTTCCGTTTTTTTCTTCTGGGTCGATCCTGACGATAAATATTGAGTGATAGCCAGTTAGATGTTAGCAGTCCAGTAAATAAACATCTGAATAATGTATATTCTTTTCTCTGCATATTGCCAGCGACCACATTATCTCTTATTGAGCTTTTAGTAACTTTGACAACGAAAGGTTGTAAACTTTTCAGAAATGCACAAGGATGGGTTATGCGATGAATATACATAATGATATATTAAAACAAACAAAAATAGATAATTTGTTGAAATATTTAGATGACAGGAACAGGTAGCCCAGATGCTCAAGCAGGCCGCTTTGTTCTCCCCCACAGAAGGCTATTGCTGATGGTATCCGGCCAATGGATGTTGAGTATCTTGCGTAGACAACTATTTATAAACACTTGTACCTTCTTGATGGTGGTTGTTGTAGTCCTCCAAGTTTCAGCTCCATACAGTAGAACTGCCTTGACGTTCGTATTGAAGATTCTAACTTTGATATTGGTTGAAAGTTGTTTTGAGTTCCATATGTTCTTCAATTGTAGGAATGCGACCCTTGCTTTGCCGATCCTCGCCTTTACGTCTGCATCTGAGCCTCCTTGTTCATCGATGAGGCTTCCCAGGTATGTGAAGGACTCTACATCTTCCAGAGTTTCGACATCAAGAGTGATTGGATTGCTGTTCTCCGCTTTGAATTTGAGGACTTTGGTTTTCCTTTTGTGTATACTGAGGCCTGCTGATGCAGAGACTGCTGCTACATTGGCTGTCTTCATCTGCATCTGTTCGTGTGTACGTGATAGCAAGGCTAGGTCGTCTGCGAAGTCCAAATCGTCTAATTGATTCTGAGCTGTCCATTGTATTCCGTGTTTTCCTTCAGATGTCGAGGTCCTCATAATCCAGTCGACCACCAGAAGAAAAAGGAAGGGAGAGAGCAAACAGCCTTGTCTGACTCCGGTCCTTACTTGGAATGCATCTGTCACCTGTCCTCCATGCACGACTTTGCATTGTAGTCTGTCGTATGAGTTCCGGATAATATTGACAATCTTCCCATGAACTCCGTAGTGTCGAAGAAGTTTCCATAACGTCCTCCTATCCACACTGTCAAATGCCTTTTCATACTCAATGAAGTTGATGTATAGTGACGAGTTCCACTCAACTGATTGTTCGACGATGATCTGTAGTGTTGCAATTTGGTCTGTGCACGATCGATCCTTACGAAATCCAGCCTGTTGATCTGGAAGTTGAGCGTCTACTGCGTCTTTCATCCGGTCCAGCAACACTGTTAAAAATTTTCCCTGGTACTGACAGTAGTGTAATGCCTCTGTAGTTTTCACATTTGCTAGGATCTTCTTTCTTTGGAGTCTTGATGAGGTGTCCTTCTTTCCAGTTCATCGGCACTTGTTCCTCCTCCCAAATCTTCTTAAATAGAAGGTGAAGCATGTTTGTAGTTACTTCGATGTCCGACTTCAGTGCTTCAGCTAGTATGTTGCCTGGTCCCGCTGCTTTCCCGTTCTTGATTTGTCTGACGGCCATTTTGATTTCTTCCTTCGTTGGCGGGTTGACGTCTATGGGAAGATCTGTGTGTGCTGCTTCGATGTCTGGTGGATTCATTGGAGCCGACCTATTCAGGAGTTCCTCGAAGTATTCTACCCATCTGTTCCGCTGTTGTTGAATTTCAGTGATTGGCTTGCCTTCTTTGTCTTTAACCGGTCTCTCTGGTTTACTGTATTTCCCTGATAGTTCCTTCGTTGTATCGTAAAGCTGTTTCATATTTCATTCTCTAGTAGCTTTTTCCGCCGTCGTTGCTAATTCTTCCACGTACTTCTTCTTGTCGGCTCTAATGCTTTTCTTCACTTGCTTGTTTGCTTCTGTGTATTCAGCTTGTGCTTGGACTATCTCTGCTCGTCTCTAGTCTTAAGGGATATCTATTTTAAGTCAATCTTTGATGTATAATATATTCAACATGAAGGTGTGTTTTGAAATCCTGAACACTTGAGTTGAGTCTGCGAGCATTTTGCGTATTTATGACCTATTGACTTAATGTACAATTCATAAAATGCGTGTTTTTTTTACACTAATAGCTACAACTTTGAAGCTGAGGCTTTATTGTTTATACCAATAGATACTGAGCAAATTCATCTTTAAATAACAGTCATACTTATTAACATGTAGATACATTTATTAATAGGATAAGTTACAAATAAGACAAAACAAGTACTCATCTTTTCAAATAAATATTTCAAAATATAATTTATATTAATGGCTCTAAATAATTCGACTTAAGGAATACTTGTTGAAGTCAAAGATCATTTAATAATTACAAAAAAATCCTTAAGATGAATAAATAAATAAACACTATTCAACAGTTTTCATTTTTTTGACCTTCTACCAGTATTCACAATAACATTTGATCTTGAATCCCATAAGTCAGTAGAACTGAAATTTTTGGATAAAACAAGCAAAATAATTATTTATTTTAATATTATTTAAATTAAACATTGAAGAAGTCTACATTGTAATGTGTCGATGTTAAAATGAAATAGAATAATTTAGAATAACTCTACTAATTCATTGAATTTATACTACCAGAATCTATACACTTGATGATTACGATCACATTATGACACTGGATATTAACTGTAATATATTTTATCATTATTCGACTGTACAATCAGTCAATTATAAACAACGTAAGAAGTAACATAAAGTATATATGTTCAAATTAAAATATCCTACGGCAAGAAAAATCTCCATTTACAATATCGACTATGCAAACAGAGTTATTTTTCCACAGAAAATCAATATACTTTACATTTCTCTATTTCTAGATACCAGGAAACTGATTGTTTTATGACTAAGCAGTTAAAAATTAGGAAGATTAGTTTGTAGAAAGCAACTAGTCCCTTTGATAAATTTGGATAATTCAGGGAGCATACGAAATTCATCAGCAGTATGTGATATATTAGAGCAATAAATATCGAACAATCTGGTTATACATATACTTCTTAAGACGAGTCTGTTATACTCCAATGAGTCTATCAATTTACAAGTGTTTGTGCACACATACATAGGGAGTACGAATCGTGATCGCTATGTAATTGTGACTGGACACAAGATCAAATGAATTCAAATAACAACATAGGAAAAGCAAACATCTTTCGCCGTTACGAAACATTTGGTTTATATATATAAATGGTTAGGTAGACAAATTGAAAGATAAGAAAGATAATGAGGAAAACTTTGTAAATCATATCACACTAAATAATAAATCAGTAGGACCAGGGTAAGAACAAGCCCCTTTTGAACATATAAAGGGGCTTCAGTCTTCATTTGACCGAGGCCTTAATAAATCTTAGTATGCGTTTTCTAAACACGTATCCAACACTGCAAGGTTAATTTGATTTCCACCCCATGACTAATCTTAACCAAATGTTTCGCAACGGCGAAAGATATATATATATATATATATATATATATATATATATATATATATATATATATATATATATATATATATATATAGGTTCAAAAAAACTTTTCACATTTCGTTGTCCAAACTTCTAATATGTTATTTTAGAAATCATAATAAGTAGAATATAAAATCCTATTTTCCAACAAACTTAACTAATCCAGATGGAAAGCTATTCTGCATGTGATCATAAGTCTTTCAATTTTTAGATCTATAAAATGCAGACTATAAACATTGACATATCCAGAATTCAGCCAGTAAAGACTTCAGTGGAAATGATATCATCAGGTATTCAAGCTTAAGTTCTTATTTTTAGTCAAAATTAGATTTGTAAACGATCACGATATAATTTAGCTTGCTAATATCATTTGATAAGGAACGAAATCAAGAATAGCTTCAAATAATTTTAAGTCGAAGATTTAGTGCATAAATCAGCAGATAAGAGCCTAACATACCTTCCGTGTTTGTTCGACATATCCGATTGAACGGTAGTTTTTCCAAAAGAATTAGAACGATTCGTCCTACTAAAAAGAAAGTAAAAAGAGTTTTAAATCAAACAATAATGAATATTTATTATGTTGACGATTTCAAAACAATGTTCGATAAATAAGGAAACCAGTGAGAAATATCACAATGTGTTACCAATAAAACTCACAAACAGATTATCAACAAATATTAAAACAGCTCATAATCCTTTTTTAAATTCATTGCGGAAACTGTTTGCTCCAAAGATTATAGCTTTATAAAATAATAATAATTAACTATTTAACTATCAAAACCCTTAATTTCAGATTTTCTGCTGAAGGATAACTATGTACGGTTTCCGAACCCAAAACTTCTCAGCCATGTGAATCATACAGTTCTAAGTTACAAACATTGTGGATATAACAAGGTTAAAGAAACTTACTGTGTAACTTTGCTCTCAAAACTCGAGAGATAATCTTGTACCCACGAACATTAGAAACCAAAACTTTAAACAGATGAACCCACATGTAACTGATTACCGGAGTAGACTTACTACAGTATGAGTAACACACAATATGTATACAGTAAGTTAATTAACAAATACAGGTATATGTGCTCAGCTTTAAGCCGCATGGTTGAGGTGTTAGTGATACTACCCGGTTATCTAAACTAAAGTAAATAAGGCATGATCTAAACCAGCTACCTACTGGTTGATGACCAGCAAAATATATTTTTAATTAACTTAGCATGTTTTAAAGACTAGAAATATCTTTTAAGGCACTTAGGCATGTTATAAAAAGTGTCATTTGTACTGAATGATGAAATAAAGCCTGGCTGTTAGAATAATGAATACTTTATACAACGAGCTACATTTGAAATATTGATTTGAAATTTTTTTTTATAAACGCAAACTAGAGTCCTAACTCTCAAATACTGAAAAGTTCAAGTGTCTATGTAGCAAAAACCATAGAAATCACAATATTTTCTGCTTTATACTTCTTTAAAACTGAGGTTTAACCATAACAATCAGCTCTAAGCCTATAAAATGCTACAATGGCTACAGTGAAATGGTATCTTTAAATTAGTTCGTAAATTACACCACCTTAAAATTATTGAAGGATTCTCTCACACTTTCAGACTGTCGACAAGTGAAACATTCGCCTAAGTATTCATCCAGCAATATACTCGAAACTCACACTATTATTATGTTTTCCAGGCGATTTATTGGCCTGAAAAATCACTGTATATATCTAGTGCGACCTTATCTTTTAGGTACAGAGTTGTCTATATTATATGATTCAGTAAATGAGTGATCAGCTAAAAGGACTTACACACTATAGATTCGTTGACATTCTTATTTGTTTAAAAGTATTTTAATGTTTAAAATCAACTCGTAATTTTTTAAAGAGATTTTGAGCCATTAAAACGACCGTAATAAAAATAACTTAAGAAACTTTTACGCTCCGTACGACGCGAGATAAGCTACACTAAATATCTTCAATTAATCACGTAAAACAATCGGATGACAATTGATCATAGCTTTCAAATTGCTTAAAAATAAAGCTGGCAAAGACAACCCACTGCTACTCTCGTTATCCAAAACAATGAACTTGCAAAATCACCAAACATTTCACAACTCTGTAACCAAATACCTGCCGGAAAAACACCAACCTTCTGGCTTAAATTTTCATGGTAACATTCTTCATTCACATGTGAGAAAAGTCCCCTTAATATATATATACTTTAAAGGTTACGTCAGACACGAGTTCATGCACAGGATTACCACAAGTGCTCTAATGCCCCATTTCCACTAAGACTCGTTCGTAAAAGCAGGTATTTGGTCATACTGAAACACTAAATTTTATGTTTATATATGAGATTTAGCGCTATCCAAACTAGATGCTATACAATGCTTTCGGTATAACACTATGAAGACACTAAATTTATAGACAAAATTAGTACGAACTAAACTAATACTTATGTTACATGTAACTTTACCTAGAAAATTCAAAGTTCAGTAGTTTCCTGGAGTTAAGGGAAACAGGAACCCAGTCTTCTAAGTTCGCTGAAAATTGTTCGTGAGATTCACGTGTATTCAGAAACAAACGTTCAGGTGTGTATAAAGAACATAATTGCTGAAAAAGTGATGAGAAAATGTAAACATTACTTGGCTACTTGGAATTGGATCATCGTCAGTGTACCAAAGTTGCCAATCTTGTAAGCCTAAATGTACAACTGCTAATCTGATGTACTGCCGAAATGTGCAGCAAATCTTGTGAATACTCAAATCATTATTTAAAATAAAAACACCTTCTTGATTATCACTAAAAACAAAAATAACCGTAGTGCCATTCAGACACTTTTCTAGTTCATAACTAGTCGGCCATCTATTGAATCCAGGGCCCAGGAAACTGTTTACAAATACCTCAAAATCGTCGTTTTTTGCCTCTCCATCAAGATGCATGCAACTTAATTTTATGGATTTGAAATCCTCTAGTTTATTTATCTTGATTAGTCCAGCTACAGATGTTTTTTCTAAAGAATTCTCTTAATTATGTTACAACTTACCATTACAAATACAGTACCATCCAAGCTCGATGCCATTAGTAGTCAGATAAAAGTCTTTTAAATCATTTGGCAAAGTTAAGTTGTTAAGCGACTCCCATATTTGAATTTTTTCTTCTGAAACCGGTTCATTTGTTTTCAAATAAACATCATAAACACCGGGTTTGGTAACTTAAAAAATTTAAAAATATGAAGATGAGTAGTACCTATTATATCTTTTAAATCTTGAAGTGTTTTAAGGAACATGCGGAAATATTGTGCTCCTCGTTGATATATGGAAATTCAACCACTGAATGACTTGATTATTTAATTCTATAGAGTATGCAACGCCTAGGTAGGAAAGACACAGAAGTATACTTAGATCTGGGAACATAAAATGTTGACAGTTTCCATTGGAATAAGGTTTCAAAAAAAGAGCGGCAATTGAATAAATTTATATGAAGTTGTGGAGTTTAATTTGATATTATGGATGAAACAATCGTAGGAGCGATCAATCCATCAAGATGCATACGTCAGTCTCCAATTGTAAAGACAGAAGGTCAGATAACTTTTGTTAACCCTTTAGTTTTATAGTACTGCAAAGATCTGATTTCGCTTTGTATGAATCAGTAGTTGCTAATAGCGTGTGTTCTAAAACCGAATCCCAGTAATTCGCCGCCTGATGTGCTAAACAGAATTCCAAAACCAAAAGACTAGATCTTGGTTTCTGGGATCTTTTGAGGACATCGTTTCAGGTTATCAGTCCTAGATGGAAGAAATAAATTAGATATATTGGTGCAAAAGTTATTATTCTGTGTACAGCAAGCAAAAATGAAATTAACTACCAACCCACACTTGAGTAACAGAATTAAGTGAAAGCGTGTACGTCTATTTTCAGACGACAGATCACAAAGACTTTTCATTATTTCAGCCCCATACTTATCAGACCCATTCGACTACATCCACTTCATAGTCAAAATAAGAGCTCACTGATGAAATTTTATATTCCGAATTCGATCTCACGTGTATTTGGTATGATATTCTGAGAATTATTTTCATCTAAATCCCGATATGTTTTACGAATTTACGATAAAACTGGAAAGTCTTTGTAGGCAACTATCTTGTGCTTCCTCTTATATTATTTATCTTTATAATCAGTGACCGAGGAGAAAGTAAGAACTAAAATGTAAGTGTTCTTGGATATATATTTCAGTAATCGAATGCACCAGCATATGTAGTAGGGACAGACAACAAAAGTACAATTGAATCGAACGAATACAACTGAATTGGAATAATAGTCGTATTGGATTAAAAACAAATTTAGACCTCTTCTCAATTGGATTGGGTTCTTACTAACACTGGCAACTAGAATCAGCAGCAATTGTATTAGAATGAAAATAAAACTGGCAATAGAATATCCAGCAATTGTATTGTAGTTAAATAAACCCATGACTACATCAGACTGATCTGTATTGTATTAAAATGGATACGAAATGTCCAGAGTGTCAATTAGTCAGCGTGTCTCAGGTATTTGTAAAACAGTATAACAATGTAATACGATCGACAGATAGGTATATAGTCTGACAACCACTCAAAAGAATATTAGAAGGATTCACATGTAAGACACAAGTTAACCAATAGGATTGAACTAATTCATTTGACAATCACATGCTTAGTTAGATGTCGTATTTTGAAATGAATGTGCCATTTTACTTATCTCACAAATCTGTATTATACAATGTCAGTACTTACGGTCCTGAAGTTATAACTGCAAACTCAAGCTCCTTATGATCAATAACGCTAGTTAAAGAGACTCCATATCTTATGTAGTAATGAAAGATACTATAGGGACCATATCGCTCTACTACACTTACACAAGAATTTGCAGTATGACCATAATTTATGGACGACATTTAAGTGACGCTAAAGTGACTTTTGGAAAATTCCGCTACTCACTGGATTTGAAAGAGGAATATAAATTAGTGTGAGGAGTTGGGATTAACATTTAGAGTTAAACCCTAAAGTTAGGAACAATAGTTAAAATTTTCACTCCCAAGTGATATCAACTATGAGGTCAAAATACTGCTTAGCCGTAAGAATGAATGTGTTTAGTGCCAAAATTCAAGACGCTATCTTTAACTTCGTTAATTCGTCCGCAAATTTACATTTTCACAAAATTAGAGCACTTCCTTGTGTAAATTTTAATGGAACAATGAGAAGGTGTAGTTGATCTGAAAAAAAATGATGCAATAATCTTATAAATTTCGAACAATTCGGTCACATATGCTTTCCAAGGCATTTTATAAGAAAATTAGTGAAGGTTAATGATATGAAATCTTAATCGATAGCAAACCATATGATTGAAACAGGCCGTAGAACTGACATCGAAGGGTTCTGTGGAAAATTTGAGGAACGAATTATTGACTATTCACAAATTCAAACCTTTTTTATGAGTACAGAAACGGCCCGTCATAACCTTTAGTTTGTTCTGATAGTCTTTAAGCCATTTTATGGCCTAGGAGTAAAGTTCCATTATAAAGGTTTCTAATTCAATCTCTAGGTAAAAAATAATTCACACAGATTCTCAATTCTGCTTTTGAGTTTATATGAGGGATTCTACTGATAGCTTAGCAGGGATCCTTAAAGAATAAGTCTAACGGAATATTCATGAACTTCCCTGCCTCTTTTTAACAAAAGAAGATCAACCATATATGAATATTCACTTAAAAACAACGCTTTTTCTGTATTTTTTGAATTTTTTCGATTTTTCTGGACTTTTTAAGAGATTTACCAAATTTACTTCGAAGATACGAAAATGAACAGAATATTATTCCTTTACAGGTAGCTTGAAATAGCAATATAGATAATCTCCATCAAATTACCAATAATATTATTGGTTCAGCTGACCTGATCAGCAATTTAATAAATAACGCAATTACCAAAAGCATGAGGTTTAAAGCACATAATGTAGGTTTAGACAATATGTAATGCATAGGACAAATTGCATGAAGACATATGGCTTTACAACACTTATCTCTATGTTTTTAAAGGCCGCACAAAAGTCACTCAACCATCTATATCAGAACAAAAGACCCTTAGAATCTGAAAAACAGTCAATCGACCTGTTCCGTGGAATTTCAAAACCACACAAAGCATTTAGTTATGGAAACGTGACAAATCAGCATCCAATGGTTCATATGGTTCCTCAGTCTTCAAATGATTAAAATAGTTGTAGACTGAATAAAATAAGCTTTCGCTAAACGAGCTTGCGTATCTGGTAGCAGTGGATCACCAATAGCTCCAGGCAGGAACCTAGGTATATTAACGATGATAGAGGAAAAAGAAATTGGTAAATCATAGTAAGATATTATCTTTAGTTCTTAAGAAATGGTCAAGTTTCCTCTTAAAGGACTCCTAGGAAGTCGCCTGGACTAGCTCAGCCGGCGGCGAATTCTGGAATCTTACAGCTCTTGAGGAGTAGATATGTCTACAGACCGTTCTGCTGTGTTGTCTCTAGTTTATGGGTGTTGCCCCTTTGGTTTGTGTTGGAGCTAAACCTAAGCAGGTGTTTAAGAGGATTGTGTGTCAGTGAACCTGTGTTAATTTTGATAGGATTGCCTTTCAGTGAAGGTCCAGCTTCTCCTTAAAAATATTCACTGATGTAGCCGATACCACTTGTTCGCGTAGGGCGTTCCAGTCACTGACTACTCAATGAGAAAAACGGGACTCCACTTTAAGTTTATTAGATCGCTGTTTGTGAATCTTCTTTCTATAACCTTTGAGATTATTAGTACTGGAGGGAGCATAAAGATACGACATATTAACACCCAAATCATAAGTAAAAATACGAAGTGACAGTATAAGGTCACCTCGCGTCCTATGATACGAGAAGGGGAAAATGTTAAGGCGTTTTAAGCGCTCATAGTAAGAGAGTTTAGAACAACCCTTCACCAATGTTCACACACGCTGGATATGCTCAAGTGAGTAAATGTCTTTTATCAGGCACGAGACAGCGTCTTGTACACAGCACTCTAAGTGTGGTCTCACATAAGTGGGATATGAATTTCGAAACACCTCGTCAAAGCATTTGAATGCTCGGCGCAGTAACCATAACGGGATAGAAGCTTTTGCTCTTCGTATCTATTAGCAGTGGATCAATGATGCCTCCAAATAGGAACCTAGGTATATTAACGATAAAAGAGGAAAAGAGAAAAAGGTCGGTAAATCATGGTAACATACTGTTCTTAGTCCTTAAGATTATGTCAAGTTTTCTCTTAAAGGACTCCTGGGAAATCGATAGGACTGGCTCAGACGGCATCGAATTCCATCATCTGACTACTCTTAAGGGGTAGACAGTGTGTCCACAGTCGGTTCTACTGTGTTGTATCTAGTTTCTGGGTGTTACCCTTAAGGTTTCTGTTGGGACTGGGCTTAAGCAGATATCTAATGGGATACCCAAAAGTTTTTAGGATGCCGTAAGTCATTTGAAGGTCAACTTTAAGACGCTTGTACTTCAACGAGTAAACGTTCAGTGGTTGGAAGCGCTCTCCATAAGGCTTGAATTTGAGTCCCTGAACTGAGTTCGTGGCCCAAGTGAGATACGCTCCAGAGTGTCCTTATCGTTTTGGAGTGAGGGACGAAATACTATGTTTCCGTCCTCTAAATGGAGACGAACAGAACTGTTGGGGATTATATGAAAAGTTCCTCCTTCGAACTGGCCGAAAATGCGCTTTAAAGTTATCAGTGCAAGGTTTGCTCAGAAGACACTTTTGCTGCAGTTGGTGCAAGCTTCCAAATCATAAGGCACCAACATTACTGAATCTTTTTCAACTTGGGATACCACTTAAGGGGAATTACTTAACCCATATTCGTGGTCTGTAACATGTCTCAGATGACCTAATTTACGCTCTGAAGTGTCATAAGTAGGTCTCTTGTCATCTGCTCAACTCTGGAGTCAGATCAGATCCTCCTGAAGTGCCAGTTTATCCTCTTGGCTTTATGTTGCTCTCCAGAGTTTCACATCATCAGCGAGAAGTAACAAATCTGACTATGCCTGCTATGGCAGAACATTTTTATAAATCAAGAGACGAAGAGGTTCAAGTACTAAAAACTGTGGGGCCTATAGCCTGAGAGGAAGTGAAGTTAACCCTGACCATAAAATGTCGATTTTTAGATATGAAGTGAGCTAGTCAATTAAAGGTGAGTTGATACTTAAGCGTTTGAGCCTATTGATAAAACATATGTGGCTAACCCTATCAAAAGCTTCT